TTTCCTTCTGCATTTGGCGTCACTTCCCTCCGCTGTCTGATCATCGACTTGGGGATGTGGCGACGACGTGAAATTCCCAACATTGTTGTTTCCATGGCTCGCTCAGTGACATATGGCTGGCGCTCTTTGCCTTTAATAAGAGACCCCGTCTTACAGCCTTGTCGGCAGGACGGAAAAGTCGAAAAGGTGGACTCGGGTTTCTTTCCTGATGTGACATATGAGGAAGTTGTTGATGACACAGGGAGGAGTAATTTTCTCCCGCGCACGGGTGTGACTTAATGTTGTTCGTTCTATTGAAACTCTTGACGATTCCTGCCTGTCCTCTTGGCCACTGATCATCCAGACTTGTTAACAGTCTGTTTTTGACGATGCTGGTCAACAGCTGGTAGACTTGTGAGAGCAGACAGACTGAACGATAGTTTTTCAGATTTTCCTTCTTTCTCTTCTTGAACGACGCAAATTGTTTGTGACCCCTTCCAGCTTGAAGGTATTTTTTCGCTTAGGTAGCAGCTGAACTTCTTTGCTGAAGCCTTCAACAGCATCCTACAACATGCTCTGGTGGTTTATTGTCAGAATGTCGTTTCTCTGGGTTCTTCCTTCTTCCATTTGCTGCGCGATATGCCAGCATCATTCACTTATAAGGACCGGATATGCATTTCCTTCTGTCTGTTTGTGAGACGGTGGGAGGACGCGTGTCTTCGCAAACGCATAGAACTGGGTGTGAATATTCTTGCATATTAACTGCATCTCAGCTCTGTCAAAAGTCAGTGCGCCATCGTCGTTTTTCGGCCCAATGATAGTCGAGTGACAAAGCGCTGACCCTCTCCTGTATCGTCTGAGGCTTCCATTGTCTTCGGCTGTTTTCCCTAATTTTTGCAATCGGAAGGTCTCGAAGTCAGTGCATATATTATTTATAGAAAGATCAGCTGGCGAGGTAAGGGTAGATGAAAACTGGTAGATATGCATCTGCCTGTAAATCGTATCACCGTGGAAGGAAGGTGTATTTCTAGAGTGTCAGATCCATGCGAAATAATCGGTGGCCATTGTCCATGGTTATATTTGCATACTACAATATCAGCCATCATGGTATCTACGCTACTGGTGAAAGTACGTGCCGTTATTGTTCCTCTGGTTATCGTCGAGGATGAATATGGGCGTTGACTACCATTCGTTCCGTTCAGATTTCAAATCCTACAATTATACCTGTTCGCATTTGTTGCAAGTCCTGTTTGAAGAAAGATGCAGTTCTGGAAGGATTTATCGTCATTATCCGTGCTCATTCTGGAGAAAGAAAGATCAGGAGCCATCAGAGTAAGCACCCTTTAGATTAAAGTAGATGCAATGGCTGTTACTTTTGCCTGTCCGAGGATAAGTTTATTTCTTTACTCCACGATCGTCAATATTTCTGTTCAGATTTCA